AGGAAGGGGAAATGGTTTAAAAGATGACCATAAGTGGACAGAGCTTTGGTAAACGGCAGCAGAAAATAATTATTTCTATAAGTAAATGTGTGTGAATATTTCTAAACCGTTTATGGTTTTTCAGATAGCATCACATATGTAGGATAGTTACTTTTTTAAGCACTTTCTTTTCTTTTTTTTTACAGATATGCACCATAAATTATGTACATTTATTTTTATTATACTATATTTTAGGTAGATTGCAAATGATTAAATATAAAATATTCCTAACTTGTAATTTCCATATGTGCATATATTGAAATTATACTAAAGTGTATTAGTTTTCAATAAAATCATTGATGTAACTTGAATTTTATTCAGATGCACTCCTCGTTTTTATTTTCTTATTCAGTTTTCAAAATTTTCTCTTCAATTTTGATAGTAATTAATTATAAGAATTTTTCGAATTAAACTCTTAGGGTGGGGTCTAAGAGTGGGGCTCATTAAAAAACGTTCTCGAGGTGATCATTTTCTTTGGTTTCAATTTAATTCGGATGTGGACATCTTYAGGATGCACATCCCTCGTGGGTCTTCAGAAGCGGTTACCTCCTCGTGGTTAGACCCGGGCAATGGATATTACTTTCCGTVTAATRTTTATCATATTTTDATATGCTATACATTACATTACAAGTAAAATCTAGCCAAAGACTGCTTACCAAAAACATTATAATAATAACTAGTTTCTTTCATTTTCCTAATCAATAACATATTACAATTCATTTCATTGTTTCCACTTTAATACTACATTCATATTATATCCCACATTAAAATACTCGATTTATTTTATAGGAACACTAAYCTTGTGYATTCTTTCAGWCGTTTTTGAYGTGCAGTGCGGTCGGTAAAGCACGTCTCGGTCGCGTTCGCGTTCGTGGTCGCGATAAAAAACTGTTTTATAGTTTTTAGCTCCAATTTGTATTCCTAAAAATCGTCAAAAAGATGCATATGTGTTTATAGTTAGAGTCAAAAATATTAAAATTTTCGTATTATTAAATTTTCAAGCTTGAATAACGTTCGGTAAATATTACAGTAATTTCTATTTTCTTGTTTTGTCTTTAAGATTTTTTACTGTAATCGTATTTTATTAAATTTGCAATTTTTCTTTTTCGTAAAATGCAATTTAAAAGTATTTCATAATAATTATTAGATATTATTTTTTATAGTAATTTAATATTTGTACTTTTTTTCTGTTTTGTATATATTTTTTTTTGTAAATGTAAAAAAATCACGCGTTTAAAATTAATTTTCATTGCATCGGTTAATAGAGATTTGATAAAAGTAAATAAAGAATTCAATTGAAAAGTGCATCTGCGAATTGGACGATTTATATGTCAGGCTATTTTATCACTTGATTCTATGAATAATATAGTTTTCTTTTTGTTACAGGTGATCATCGTTGGATTTAATAACAATATTTTGAGATTATTTTTGTTTGAACGGCATGACTACTTTTTAAAATATAAATATATATATTTATAAAGGCATTTTTGAAGGCACACACATTTTTATACACTAAAAATTGAATATAATTATTTAAAATTTTATTACAATATAATTAAACTATATATATACTATCAAAGAATATGTCATGTACTATCATATACTATCAAAGAATATTGTATTCTTTGATTGGATTGTACCGTCATCGCGTTAAGTTTCTAGTATCGTCCACTGGTGGTCTCGGTAGTAACTAAGATGAATCTGAGTAGATAAAAAAGGGGACTTGTGAGTTTCTGTGTACTTCTGTATTCTTTGCTATAACGATTGTTTAAAATATTTGTTATAACGATTTATTTAAAATAAAACATTTAGAAAAATGTCTGCGATGATAACTGCTGATTGGTTTCCTTTAGGACGTGACATATACTTTCGGTAATTAAATAATATATTTAATGCGTGCCTTCCAATGACATCTATTATAATTTTGTATACGACACACAAAGAAGTATAATTAAATAATATAAATGTAATTGTTTGTTGCAGAAAATTTGAGCTTTATCCACTTACTTTTCAAAACGAAGTAAGCAATACTAATTTAATAGCAGCAGCTCCTTATGGAGGTTCTATAGCTATTACCAGACATCCTAAAAAATTAGTTAAAGTCCAAGGAACCAATAAACCTGTAGTATTGATTTATACTTCAGCAGGAAAAATAACAGCTAAGTTTCAGGTAAATTAAACATAGTTATTCGTTAATGGATTGCATATAAAGATACTTCTATTCGTTCCAAATCAAATGGTTGTTTTTATATTTAAGTGGAATAGCGGTCAGTTAGTTCACTTAGGTTGGTCGCAACAAGAAGAATTACTTTGCGTTCAAGATGATGGCATGGTTCTTATTTACGATATGTTTGGAACGTATCAACATACTTTTGGCATGGGAAATGTGAGCTACGTTCATTCATAACAATATTATTGGTCATTATTATTGATTAAATATATTCTAGTATTGGTTTATTTATTGCTTTCTTGTATGTAGGAAGCAAAAGATACCAAGGTTATAGAAGCAAAATTTTTCACAACTCCGGTTGGTACAGGAGTCGCTGTCTTAACATCTGCATACAGAATTTTTTTAGTAACTAATGCATCGGAACCAAAGATCAGACGAATATCTAATATACCACGTAAGTTGAATTGTTTGTAATATTTAATATAGGAAAAGATTCTATATTTATTTATTACATATAAACTTGTGGTAGGCATTGGAGGCCCTATTGATTGTTGGCTTGTAGTGCATTATGACCGAGAAACTCAAATTATTTTCTCTAATGGAGAAGGTATATTCTTTTTGCATCAACCTTATACTACTACTACATCGATACCATTTGTAAGTTTGATGGTTTGATTTTCAAGAAATATTCTAAGTGAATTCTTAATTATTATTGCTTTGTTATAATATAGTTTGTTATTTTTTTAGAGTAATCTATTTAATAATAAGATAAATAATGTTTATGCAATGGCTGTGTCTCCAAATAATCGTCATATCGCTCTTTATGCAGACACTGGTCATTTGTATATTGGTTCATTTGATTTTAAAGAGAAATATTGTGAATGTGCTACGCACATGACAGAACCATTATCTTGTATAGCATGGTATAAATATTCTATACTTTTATAATAATAATATTTAAATATAAAAGTACTCTCTTACAGTTTGAAACATACACAAATATTAACATTAAATAATTGCAGGTGTGGAACAGAAGCTGTGATTTGTAGTTGGAATAGTACAGTGATGGTTGTTGGAAGATCAGCTGAAACTATAGTTTATACTTATGATGGACCAGTATATCTTATTCCAGAAATTGATGGAGTACGTGTCTTATCCAATTCCTCTCATGAAATGATACAAAAAGTTCCAAATGTTGTATTAAAAATATTTAGAATAAATTCGACAGATCCTGCATCATATCTGTTGGAAGCATCTAAACAATTTCAGAAGAAAAGTCACAAAGCTGACAGCTATATTGACTTGGTCAAAGATAAATTAGATTCAGCTATAATAGCTTGCATCGATGGAGCAAGTCACGAATTTGATTTTCAAACACAAAAATTATTAATAAGAGTAAGAGTCATGTTTCTATGCTACTAATATTTTCTTTTTAAATAAATAATTTTATATAATTGAGAAAAATACATTTTATATAGGCAGCTAAATTTGGTAAGGGATTCAGTAGAACAATGAATCCTGATAATTATGTTAGTATGTGCAGAACATTGAGGGTATTGAATGCAGTAAGACATCCGTCAATTGGAATACCATTAACATGTATACAGTATCCTTTAGTAATTTGTTGCTGTGATAATTAAAAACTAAACAATTGCAATCTATTTTGATTATTCTTAATTATAACAGATTTAATATTTTAACGAGCCAAGTTTTATTGGACCGATTGGTAGCAAGAAGACATTATTATTTAAGTATACAAATTTCACGTCATCTTCAACTTCCTGAAATAGATGGAGAAAGTAGGATATTAGCACATTGGGCTTGTTACAAGGTAAATTTTCTATAATTTTATTCTTTTATTATTGTATCTATGTATATGTGTGAATTAAATCGTCGTATTATTAAATAGTAAAACTTTTCGCTGTACTTGCAGGTCAAACAAACTCGATTAGATAAAGAACAAATAGCGGAAGAAATAGCTGATAAATTGGGATATGCTCCTGGTGTGTCATATAGTGAAATAGCAAAAAGGGCAGCAGATTGTGGTAGAAAGCAATTAGCTATTAAAGTAAATTTATTTTATTTAATGAGAATTTCAAATTTTCTCAAACCAAATAGCTATGAACTTATTCAATATTTCATAGTTGATAGATTACGAACCGCGTGCTCATTTACAAGTACCTTTGTTACTTACACTTGGTGAAGAACGAGCTGCATTACACAAAGCAGTAGAAAGTGGTAATACCGATCTCGTTTATACTGTTATACTTCACCTTCGAGAAAATATGACACTTGGAGATTTTCAAGTAAGAGTACAGAAAATCTCTATTATTTTCTTAATATTGAAATAATAGTATATAAGAAAACAATACATAATATTTGATAAAATATGCATTAATTTTATTACTCATTACAGATGTCTATAATGCATTGTCCTTTAGCAATGGCATTGTATATTAAATATTGTCAAAATCATAATCGAGAAACATTACGAGATATTTATAATCAGTACGATGATTTTCATTCACAAGCAATATGGTTTATTGCAGAAAGTTATCAACAAAAGGTTTATATAAAATATACATTTTAATATATTGTAATGATATTAAATAATATAGTATTTATTTATTTTGTATAGAATGCACGAGATACATTGCTTCAATCGGCACAAGAAAATTTTAAATTAGCACGCAATGATACAAATGCTGCTTTGACAGAAGAACAAATTAAACTGTTGCGTTATCAAAAATCTTTAGAAGAAACATTACATGAAACAATGATAGGAAAATCTCTTCACGACACGGTCAAAACATTATTACTTCAAAATGAATTAAAGCTTGCGGATAAATTGAAATCTGAATATCGAATACCTGAACGCAGGTATGGTATATAATAAACATTTTAAATTATATCAAAAAAAGTACACGTTTTAATTAAAAAAGAAATTGGAAAAAATATTATTTAGAAATAAATTGAAGTTTAATAATTATTCATTAAACTCCTTATAGATATTGGTGGTTAAGAATACAATGCCTCGCCGAACAACGTCTTTGGGGTGAATTAGAAAAATTATCAAAGAGTAAAAAATCTCCAATTGGTTATGAGGTAATGAAAATATTAACTACTAATTCATTTTAACATTCGAACAATTCTATGCGTGATTTGATACATTTTTTCTCAGCCATTTATTGATCAGTGCTTAAAGTATGATCAAGAACGGGAAGGAAAGAAATATTTGCCAAAAGTACAAGATGAATTAAAAGTAAAATATCTTGTTAAATTAAAGTAAGTATGATATTTTATTTTTATATCATTTTTATTCACTTCTCGGTATATAAATAGAAATTAATTATAACATAATGATATGATATAAAGTTGGTTCGTTTGTAATAATTCTATAGAATTTAAATCTATTTCATAATCTATACAGAATGTTAAACGAAGCAGCCCAAACAGCAGCAGAGCAAAAGGATGTTTCTGCTCTGACGTTTGTATTAGCACAATGTGGTCAGTCGGAAAAGCAATTAATAGATAAAATCAATATGCTTATTAAAAGTATCAAAACTTAAAGATTCCAATAAATTTAAACGATTGTATTATATTTTATTATATATATATATATATAAAAATTTATCTGACTGAAAACATATTAGACTTATAAACTTATATTTATACTTAAATGTAATTGTACATATTATAAACAACAATTTGTTATATCGTATTTATAATTTTTCATTAAATTTATTTATAATTCATACCAAAAAATTGCTATAATTGGATACACAATATCCAATTATATTTTCCCTTAATTGTGCAATAAGCAACTGATATTTACCAATAATAATACAGTAAAAAAATAGTAAGGTCCAATTGAAAAATCATGTTATCGAAATAAGTCTATATGTTGAGTTAGGAGATCTAAGTTTTGAAAAATCCTTATGTTTCAAAACTATATCAGCGACTATAAATTTTTCGATTTCTTCGCCGTTCTTCATTTGTTCGTTTGTTAACGACAACACATAATCATTTTCTTTGCTAACAATAATTACTTGTTGCTTTCTAGTCTGTAACATGTTAGCAATAACAAGCTGCAACAGAATGATTTATATCAACATAAAATTACTTGCAAATATAGAAGTATAGATAAATAAACATTATTTTAAAATGAAGTAATTCTTACATTGTGTTTGTACTTGTTCAAAGCAGTTCTTGCTTTTGAGACTAAAACATTTTCATCTGTTTCTAATTTAAATGAAATCACAAAGGCTTCTGGTACCCATAAATTAACTAAAGGTTCTAGCATTTTTGGAACTAGTTGAAGTGATATCGTTGGTGGACCATTAGAAGAAATTTTATGTACGGACTGGAATCAATTTAATGTTATAATAGATATACAAAAATGAATAATTTGATTAAATTAAAAATAAATACATACCATTTCATCAAATGGTACATAAAAGTCTGAAACAGCTGCAGCTAAATATAAAAGAGCTTTATCTTTTAAACAAGCTAATGCTTGACAAGCGGTTCTAAGTAGCCAAAGGTACTCGGTCAAAGTACTAAAACTAATTTGTATTAACTTATCCTGTTGCATTGTTTTTTTATATTTTTGTAATACCATTGCTACTTTTTCTGTATGTTCAGGTACAACTGTAAAAATAAGTTATACAAGCTTTTAAATAATCATTATGATAAGAATTAATATAATATATAATGAGTAATATATATATATATATATAGATAAATAAGCTTTACATTACAGCATTATACCTGTGACAACGCATTTATCTGCCTCCTCCGTTAAATTGAGCATATCCAAAACCTTATGTCCGATGAAATGTCTAGTAAATGGTTCTAAAGACTTGAGTCTATAATAAAATATTAGCATATCTTAAAGCAACACGCATTCATTAGAAATATATGTATTCTTTATCATTTGTAAGTTTTTTTACCTATACATAAATATTACGGCATATTTATGTTCCAAAAAATATTCAGCTGACGTAGATCCTCTGGATCCAGCACTAAAATTATCAACAAACCTAACAGTGTTATGTTCTAATGGAATCATTGTACCGCCGCTCTGCAATATTAATTATTGTAGTTACTCAATAAGCTTTTAAATATAATGTACAAGTAAATTGTTTCTTTAAATTAACATACCGTTATCAATACTACTTTATTGTTTTCTTGTAAATGTTTTTCAATAAATCTTTTTAAAAGATTTTCGGTTTGATTTAAATCTTGTGGAGGTGGATGTTTGGCAAAAAAATCTTCCCATGTTGAAGCCATAGTAATTATTTATATTTTTACTTAAAATAATATTTATATGTATATGTACATTTATATAAATTAGGTTATATAAATGAAGAAATTGATAACGTGTAAATATATAAGTATTTTCAATCAATCAAGTGAAAGATAATTTAATTGTCTTATCTTTAAACTTATTTAATTATTTTCGATAGACGTATGACATCACTCCATAAACTTGAAATTGTCAATTATGCATTGGTGACGATTACTACATTGATCATAAAAATCTAACATAACCTCTAATTTTATTTAATGCTAACTTCAGTGTCCAATCGATCGAAAAAACAAATGCTTCTGCTTCGGATATTTAAATCAATAATTGTTGATTTTTTTATGAAAATTTGATTTATTTATTAACGTAAACAATTAATAAAATGTTTAATAATGAAATGACATTAATGTAAAAGTTATTTTTATAACATTTCATTTGAGTACATTTACAATACATTTTTAAACATTTTCATTGCATAAAAATAATTATTATCAAAAAAAGAAACAATAAAGATATTTATAAATAATCCAAATTTGATTTTATATTCTAAATTAAAGGAAAGGTAAAATAAGAGATAATAGAAAACTGAAAATTATACTTAATAGTATTTCTATTTATTTAAAAATCATGAAATTTTTCAATAACTTACATCTATTCAATATATTTTAAAAATAAACTTAAAACATAACTAGTCATTTTTATTGAGAAAAATTTATAAATTACTTTTTAATGGATTTAAAACAACACTATGGACATTAAATAGATTTCTATACATAAGTATGATAATAGAATATGTAGAAAATGTATGAAAAGTTCATTCATTTTCTTAGTTACCTATCTACACAACAATACTACATAGAAAATTGTTTAGTATTCGGGTGCTTTGTTGGCATGTTCTTTGTAATCCACAGTAGAGTAGAACTAAAAAAACAAAGGAATAATAATGTAAGCATAAATTCAATACTTCTATTTGAGTAGTGTTTCTGAATCTAAATGAAATACAAATCTTGTATTCAAAGATTTACGTACTTTGTATTGTTTATCACGATATTCTTGCCAGGGTTCAGGGTTTTTCTTTAAAGACCACGTTACATCGGGATTACGAAGGGCTAAACGTAATGAGTAAAATGTAGCACCTGCTATACCAACTCCTAAAGCAATGAACAGTGGGATCAGCTGTAGGGAAATATTACGTCATTAATACTGTTCATTTGTATTAACAAATATAGAATTTCTATTGTATATATTATAATATATATTAATATAAATATTTACAGGATAATTCTTCTTTAAAGAAGATAGAGTAAGTCCACCCAGGATAGGGCCTGGTTTATTAACTTTGTTTTCTCCCATGTTTTTAATTTAGAGTTCTCGTCTTCGAATGAAGTACCAGGTACTTAACACCGACTAAGGTAACTTTTACTCATAAAATATATAATAGATATGCATTCGAATATCTATTTTTGTTAGTACTACGTATTATAGGAATGTTTGCTTTTTACTATGTAGATGCATTAACCAATAGTGCATTTGGATGATGGAGTTGACATTTTTATCTGTAGAGGACACTGTTTTCCCTACAAATATATATCATAGTATTTTTTTTAATTAAATTCATATATGTATATTTATGACTAATGTTTACATATTAATTAATTAAGAAATAAATAGTAAAATATATTTTTTTAATTTTATTAAAACAAAATTCTACATTCCATTACAACAACAATGGCAGATTTTGAGAAATGCTTGATATTCTTTGGTTGGCTGTATTGGTCGAGATTAGAAATTTCTTGTGAAGAAAATGTAGACAATGTCAAATATCTATTATCGTGAATATCCCACGGCGGTATTCCGCCCGTAAAAGTTAATTTTTATCAGTTCGGGTGTCCGTATAAATATAAATGTTGATCTCAACCATGCACGAGTATGAAAATATACACTTTGATTGTGTTGAGTAATAAATGAGCTATTTGAAATGTAATACTTCTTTAAACTTTGTTGATTTTAAATTTGTTCATTTAATTTCACCATCGTCGAATGTCAAGACAACAGATTGAAGTGGATATGAATTATTGTTAAGAATTTAATTATTGTACAGTATTAACTATTGCCAACAGTATATATGGTTTGGTTATCGGACAAGGAAATGGTCTTTTCGACAAGCCTCCAAGGGCAAGCTTCGCATGAAGCTTTGCTCAGTAGACAAGATGCTGAAATCAAGCTTTTGGAAACAATGAGACGATGCTTGACAACGAAAGTTAAATCTGATCGTGAATATGCAGCAACTATTACTTCTTTAACATTGCAGGGTAAAAAAATAGAGCGCAGTGAAGATCTTGTTGGGAGTTTGATTGCACAGGTATATCTTTTTACTTCTATTGATCATTACATTCATTGAGAAATTAATACCAAGTAAGTACTTTTTTGTGTTTAATTTTTATATATCATATATGTTGTAGAGTTGGAAAGATATTATGGAATCGATAGATCAAACTGCAAAATTAATTAAACAGCAAGCAGATTCTATAGAAAATATTGTTATAGAACACATTAGCGTTTTGTATTCTGAACGAAGAAGAGCAAGAAAGGTTTATCAAGAGGAGCAAACTTGGTTGAATAATCAATTCCAACAGGTAATGCAAATTTGATATTATAGAATGTTATTTTATTATTATATTTTTATACATTTGGTTAATCTACAAAAGTATGGTTTTTAGTTGACGGATGATGTTGCCAGGAAGAAGATGGAGTATCAAAAAAATTTGGAGGTATATAAGTTGATGAGGTCTAGATTCGAAGAACATTATATTAAATGTGAGTATATATTTAATATTACAAAATAATAATATTTCTTTTACTAAGTTTTAATTAATAAAACATTTATATTGATTTCAGCTGGTCGAGGAGGTAGGAAGTTAGATGAAGTAAGAGAAAAGTACCAAAAAGCTTGCAGGAAGCTACATTTAACGCACAATGAATATGTTTTACTGTTGGGTGCTGTAACAGAATGCGAATATGATTTAAGGACTTGTTATTTGCCTAGTCTACTTCGTCGACAACAAGCTATACACCAAGAGTTTATTACATCATGGTAAGACAAGTTGATTAAATAAACAAAAAATTCTAGGCTTTAAAATATTAATTATTAATATATAAATAAAACCTAGTAAAATGTCATTTTGGTAATTAATAGGAATATTTACATATATTGTTTATCATAATTATTTCTATTTTATATTTGCAGGAAAGAGATACTTCATGATATAGTAAAATATTCCGATTTTACCACTGATAAATTTTTAGAAATACATTCAAGAATGCAAAAAGCCGTCGATACAGTTAAACCTATCGAAGAGTATAGAGATTTTATAGGGAAACATAAGTAGGTTTTTTTTTAACATTTTCTTTTTAACTTGTTATACAAAAATTATACTGTGGTAACGAATATTATAATATTAATCTAGAACTAGGGCAGTTTCACCAATAAGATTCACCTTCGATGAGAATCTCGTAGATGATACTTCAGGAAAATTACTACCCAACAAATTGACTGTGGATAATTTAACTATTGATTGGTTAAGAAGTAGACTTAACGAATTGGAAATTTCTCTTAAAGCAACACAACAAAATCGTCAGAATCCACAATTTTCTCCTGGATATAACAGCGATTCTAAGTAAGATCATAAATTTGTATTTTAAGAAAATTATTTCAAAAAAACAAATAATTAATCAATGAAATCATGTAATCCATTAGTTCGATACTATCGTTATTTTAAAAGAATCTTTGCATTTCACTTATTTCATTAGGATTTCTACCTTAGACTATTCTATTGAAAGGGAAGAATTGAGACTACTTTGTCAAGAAAAAAAATTACAAAGACAGGTTGATGTTATCAGAGCTGCTCTTAATGAATTGGGATGCGAAGAATTGCCTTCAGGATGTGATCTATCTATGGAAGGCTCGTACACCGACCCTCCGGCAATAAATAAGGTAGGTTTTAATATATATCTTCATATACATTTGTGTATAATCCTTAAAACATAAAATATTATTTTTAGTTTACTTTTTAAAAATATTTACTTATTAGCACTGCTATATTAAAGAGCTGGTCTATTGATTAACGATTGAAACAAAATTTATTCCATAATCAAATATTCGATGTTAAATATTTATAGCACATATACCATGCGCACATATGTGTTTTATCAAGTGTAATTATATATATATTTCTAAAATGAATCTCCCCACAAGTGTAATAAAAAAAAAAAAAATCTTATATAATATACGCGAATTTTTCATTAAATAAGTTTAGTTAGCTCTACTACACTTGCAGAAAAGCACAGTTGCAGATAATGGTTTGTTTACACTAAGAAGAAATCAACGCTTTCTGACGATAATAAAGTCACCTTTCAAGTCTTTGCCAGCAATAAGTGATTCGAAAAATGGATTAATTAGGGCCAGTAGTGAAGGTGTTACAACAAAAGCAGACAGTGTTCCCCCAGTTGTATGTGTTGTATATTTTATTTGTGTGGTGTGTGCATGCAAGCACATATTGTACATTTATATGCTTTAATATATATACGTATTAAGTTAAAGTTAATTAGTTAAACGATTATACATACAGCACATCTGTTTATACTAACTGTTTTTTTTCGTCCTTTCATAAATTTAAACCAAATTTTTATATTTTTTTCAAGATATAACCAAAAATGCTAATTTAGCACTAATAAATTCTAATTTAAAAAATATGACCAAAAAGTTAATCAAACTTTATTATGTCAAGCATGTTGAATTATCGGTATTTATTTGAAGTATAGCATTTTTACTAATAGTCCAGAATTTGAACAAACACAGAACATCTTGCAGTTATATATACGAAGAGAACAAAAAACTGATTTTATTCAATTTCTTTTTACTTATTTATATTACAATAAATTATTAGAAACGCATGTTTGATCCAGGTACCATTACGTTATGTCTCACATTTGACCAATAATCAAAAAGGAAATGGAGATTTAATGGAAGAAGAATGGTTCCACGGTGTTCTACCAAGAGAAGAAGTTGTAAGATTACTTGTTAATGAAGGAGACTTTTTAGTGCGTGAAACAACAAGAAATGACGAATGTCAAATAGTTTTATCTGTTTGTTGGGATGGTCATAAACATTTTATTGTACAAACTACGCCAGAGGTATGTAAATAATTTTAATAATTAATATTAAATACATACAAGATTTTTTATCTCATTAGAAATATTAAATTTATTTATTTATTTATTTATTTATTTATTTATTTATATATATTTAATAGAAATGAATCCAATTTTAGGGACATTATAGATTTGAGGGTCCAACATTCCCATCAATACAAGAATTAATTGGGCATCAATGGGTGTCTGGCTTACCTGTAACCAGTCGTTCTGGGGCTATTCTTAAAACACCAATATTACGCGAACGGTGGGAGCTTAATAACGATGACGTAATTCTTCTTGAAAAAATAGGTCGAGTAAGTAATTTAATTTCCATGCAATTTGATACGTGTATGAAATATACTTTAAAAATAGAATGGTGACTATAGAATATTCATTATCGTAGGGCAATTTTGGAGATGTATACAAAGCACAGCTTAAAAAATGCAAGACTGATGTAGCTGTAAAAACTTGTAAAGTAACATTGCCAGATGAACAGAAAAGGAAGTTCTTGCAGGAAGGTAGAATTTTGAAACAGTATGATCATCCAAATATAGTTAAACTTATTGGCATTTGTGTTCAAAAACAGCCGATTATGATAGTAATGGAATTGGTCCCAGGTAATATATTTATTTTTATAAACTTGTATTAAAATTTAATTGATGTTATTACATTATTATATCTACATCTATTAGGGGGATCATTGTTAACATATTTAAGAAAAAATGCTAGCACAATTACTCAACGAGAACAACTACGAATGTGTAAGGATGCAGCTGCAGGTATGCGTTATTTAGAATCAAAGTATTGCATACACCGAGACTTAGCAGCTCGAAACTGTCTCGTAGGTAAATAAATAAATATTATAAGAAACTTTTTATTATAAAATGTTGACATTAAAGAATAAATATTTTAATGAATAATAATTATATCTTAGGTTACGAGTCGATAGTGAAAATCTCTGATTTTGGAATGTCAAGAGAAGAAGAAGAATATATTGTATCGGATGGAATGAAACAAATTCCTATCAAATGGACTGCACCAGAGGCACTTAATTTTGGTAAATATATATGCAAAATAACTTGTTGATAAATTATATATTTATTAAAATATAATTGTTTTTGAAATTATTATTATTATTAGGTAAATACACTTCGCTTTGTGATGTTTGGAGTTATGGTGTTCTTACGTGGGAAATATTTTCTAAAGGTGGTAATCCATACAGTGGTATGTCAAATTCTCAGGCACGTGAAAAAATTGACGAAGGTAATTGATCATATAACTTATTAGTCTAATAACATTTGTTGAATTTTGATAAATGGTTCAAATATATATTCGCCATGTAGGATATCGCATGCCAGCACCAGAAAATGCTCCGGATGAAATATATCGATTAATGTTACGTTGTTGGGAATATGAACCAGAAAAACGACCACATTTTGAACAGATATATACCGTTGTTGAAACATTATCACAAGCTTATTTATAAATAATTATCAATGGCACATATTTTTTTACAAATTTACAGAAAAATGTAGTTTTCAAAGGCAATTGTAAATTTATCTTAATATCGACGTATCAGGAAAAAAAGTAAAGTATTTGGAAAACTTAATATTTAATCAATAATATTTTGTATCTGTACATTTTTATAAAATTAACATAAGTGAATATTTTCTCTTTTGTTTTATGAAAGATATAACATTTACGATCGATATTTAATTGATAACTTTGACAAGATATAAATGATATATTTCATATCCAAGGTGCTGCAGACAATTAGGTATTATTTTAACGTAGTTTCTTTGATTTTTGAAATTATTGCAATTCTATGTTAATAATCGTTTAAATTTTAGCTACGTTATCAAATTTATTATTTTATTTACTTAGCAAAAGATCTATCCAAAATTTCATTGCTATGCATTAGAAATTATTATAAGCGTCCGTCCATGTTACATTTTTATAGAATCTGAATTTCTGTTCTTTGGTATTAATCCACTTAAGTTTAAATTTTAGTCAATCTTTTTTTCAGTATACTTTCATATTCATAAAAATAATTTATAAAAACAAAATTTTTTGTGGACGATCTTTAGTTTTACTTACGAAATATATTTTTACGTTAGATATATACAATAAAGTCGATTTATAATATTTGTAAAAGATTTTAAAAATATATTATTTATATAAAATAATCAAAGAAAACATACCTCGTATTTCTTTACAAGAAAATACTTGTGTATATAAAAATTATTATTCTAGCTTTGTTTATAAAAAGTTCAAGCGCAATACAATACTTGCTGGACGAAGTATTTCAATAGCAGTATTAAAATATACATATATATATTTACGTATATAATCAATTTTAATGAAACTCTTATTTTATTTTATTTAAATACCATTCAATATATATGTGCACAATCAGTTTTTACTTCTCATCAAAATTTATTGGAAAGAATTTTATTATAAGTGAGCTTGATGATGATAAAGATGTTTTAATTTTAAGCGTGCAATATTTATTATATCTATTTTATAGATAGCTCCTGTCTTTGAAAAAACCTTGCATTTTTTTTTTTATAAAATCAAAGATCGATTTCGATCGTTAAAAAAAATTTCTCGAAGGAATTTTTTTGTTAAACGGGAACTATCCATATAGATTTTATTATCGTATGTATATAAAGTGTGCAAAAGTAAATAAGTAAAATTACTTTCCCTTAAACTTTGTATGATGTATGAGTATCTACTTCGTTGTAAAGCAAATTATAATATTATAATATCATATAGAAAAATTGATACCGTTATGGAAAACGTAATACTAGAAATATGTTACATATATGTGTTTATTTTTCAGTCTTCAATGAACTGGATATAAATCTAATCAAAAATTGTAATCCCAAAAGATGTTGGTGTTCACGTTATGTATATATATTATTATGATCTTTATTTTTATTGCATATTGTTTTCTTTTTAATTATTATTATTATTATTATGCAAATAATTATACAAATTTATGAAAAAATTTACAATTAATCTTATATTTCAAGTATATAAAAATGTTTTCTTTTCTTATTTTTTTTTTTTTTTATAAATATCTCTCATAGTTACAGATATATTCTTTTTTCTTTCTATTATAAAAAAAAGAAATTATAATAATAGTAAATTAAACTGATTCATGTATGCCATGTTTTATTCAATATAAAATATATAATTGTTACAAATACAGTTTTATAAGTTCATCACTAACAGCAGAAGGAGTTAAAATTCCTAAATCGGTAAATAAAAGACTAATATAATAAGGCGGAGTATAATCTACCAGTGGATGTTCTTTTTGGAGATCCGATTTTAAAGTACTCGCCATATACTGTAATGCAGATATTTAGTGGATAATTAATATTATTATCAAATATATATATATATATATAGAGAGAGAGAGAGAGAGAGAAAGAGCAAAATATATATTTTATAACATACTTTAAATTCATCAGGAAGATCCACTTGATTCAATGGATATATCCTTGAGAATTTGAAACTTTCGGTCAATACGTAAAAAGGCTTTTTTACCTCTTTAGCACACATTGCCATTGTATAAGTACCCACCTTAAGAAATAAAATACTAGATAAATCAAATTATATTTAATACAGTTGAGAGATCAAGATCTCAAACGTTAATGATTAATATATACTTTATTTATAACTCCACCGCTTTCTGCAACACCTTCTGCTCCAACCATTACCATGTCGACCTGTTCCATAATATATCCCATTGCGGAATCTAATATCAATGTACAAGAAATTCCCATTTTTGTTAAATTTTGACACATCTCGACTCCGCTATTATCAGGGGAAGAACTAGTAACATATACTTCAAATATTTTATTACAAGCAGCTGCTTCTTTCATTGCTTGCAATACAACTCTAGATTTGGAATGAGTGAGTATTGTCTGCAAACAAAAATAAATTTTGTTTAAAATAATAAAAATATAAATAATTTGAAATAAAACTAATTAATTGTACAATACACATACGGAACCATCAGTGATAAAATGTGCTGCTACTTTTGCAACTTTTCCTCGTGCAGCAACTAACTTTTCATAAAATACTTTCCCTCTATGAAGCATAATTCCTTTGCATTCTGCGAATGACTATGTTTTTAAACGATTATTATAATACCAAATTGTACAAATTAACAATTATTGTATTATTATTTTTACCGGTGTGTCTAATGTCGCTAAAGTGATGAATCGAAGAAATAATTCGCTTCCTGAAGCGATAGCAGTTACAGGATTATCCGTAGACCTCATTGCATTCACTGCATTTTGCAAACAATACCTTAGCTCTTGGACTGTTTCTGCTGTTAAAAATTGATAAATAAATTCATAGATTTTATTTTATCAATTAATATTTATAAATTAATATAGTTACTTAAAAAAAAATATTTTCAATGTAATTAATATACATATTGTATTGGACTTACACTTAGAATGTTCCAAGACTTTTAGTAAAGTTCGTATAGCAGCCATACCAGCTGACACATCCTTCTCATACTTAATAATACCATTAAAATATTCACAAATTTCTAAAACAATAGATGAATAAATTAATTTTTATTAAATAAATTTAGTAAACATCATATATAGAATCGTATGCCATAAAATCATATGTTACACATTATTTTGCCTGTTTAGATATCTTATAAAGTAAATTACCTGTTTGCTCCATATTTTTTCATTTATTGTCAATAATATATATATATATATAAATATGTTTATAATTTTATTATTAATTTTTTAGCATAAATTTTGTATAGCCATCACAAAAACGCATGTTTTAACATATGATTTGATTGCAATGCCTCATAGTGTTGCTTTCAAGAAACTTAAAAACAGCTTTCTTAGTCTGTCGCTAGGATATCTATATAACAGTGTCGTGCTTGTTAGCACGTGTGATTTTAGTATATGTAATTAATATTGTTGTAATTATTAATATTTTTGTTAACATATAGTGAAAGAAAAACGCAACAAACAAAATGGTTGTAATAGGGAAGAAGAAAGTAAGAATTAATTTGTACATTTATATAATTAACATTGAAAATATTTTAGGTTATAATGTTATCTGCTTAACAAAATAATTATAACATATATAGTTTTTAAAATAATTTAAATAACATGTATTTTACGTATTTTACAGTATCAATCAGGAGAAGGAGCACAGTTTATGACCAGAAAATCTGCATTGAAGAAATTGCAACTTTCTTTAAATGATTTTCGCAAACTATGTATATTGAAAGGAATTTATCCAAGGGAGCCTCGTAATCGTAAAAGAGCACAAAAAGGTGAAGTTGGAATAAAAACCTTGTATCATAAAAAGGATATTCAATTCTTAATGCACGAACCGATAATATGGAAATTAAGGGATTACAAAGTGAGTTAATATCTATCACTCTAATATTTTGCTTTGAAACATTATCTATGTATGTCTAATTTCTTTTTAGATATTCAATAGAAAAGTTGGAAGGGCAAGGGCACTTAGAGATTTTGCTGAAATGAAAAGATATTTAAGTAATCATCCGACTTTGAAATTGGATCATATCGTCAAAGAACGCTATCCAACATTTGTAGACGCTTTGAGAGATTTAGATGATTGTTTAACATTATGTTTCTTGTTCAGTACATTCCCATCATTAGCTCATATACCACGCGATCAATCAGCTCTATGCAGAAGACTAACTATTGAATTTTTACATTTCGTCATAGCGGCTAAAGCCTTAAGAAAAGTTTTTATATCCATAAAAGGTTATTACTATCAAGCGGAAATTAAAGGTCAAACGATAAATTGGATCGTACCACATCATTTCTCTTTTGAACCGCAAGAGAAAAGAGAAGTTGATTTCAAAGTTATGTCCATATTTGTGGAATTTTATGTCGTAATGCTTGGATTTGTTAATTATAGACTTTATCATTCTCTTAATTTGTTTTATCCACCACAATTTAATAATACTGGTAAGATGATTTTATTCATTTTCTTTCTATATTTTATTAAGCGAAAAGGAAAGAGGTAATGAATGATATTTTAATAAGTAATACATTTTTAGGCCAATGCGAAAAGAATCTTGTAGATGAGGAAGCATTTGTATCGGAAAGAATAAATGCATTGAATGTACCACTTAAGGCATTAGATCCTACCATACAAAGCATAGATGATGAAGAAATGGAAATAGATCAATTTTCTAAGGTAAAAGAATTTAATTATTGAATAATATGCATCTTCTCGAAAATATCAATAAACGTTTGTAATTATTTGTTTAGGATGTTGATGCTCAACAATTGGAAGCAGTTAAATTAGAAGCTGATAAAATAAAAAAATTGAAGACTTTATTTAAAGGTTTAAAATTCTTTTTGAACAGAGAAGTACCGAGAGAACCATTAGTTTTTGTTTTACGTTGCTTTGGCGGAGAAGTTTCTTGGGATAAGCTATTGTTCGTTGGTGCTACTTTTGATGAAAATGATGAAACAATCACGCATCAGATTGTGGACAGACCTAGTATGGATAAACAATTCTTGTCTAGGTAGTTAATTTATTTTTAAATATATATAATTATAAATATATTTCATTGTACTTTTGTTTTCTGTCTAATTATTGCTGTGAATATTTTCTTTATTTTACTTATATAATTCGTTAAATAATATAGAAATTACGTACAACCACAATGGGTGTTCGATTCAGTGAATGCAAGAGAATTGTTGCCTATACAGAAGTATTTAATGGGCGCTGTTCTTCCACCACATTTGTCTCCATTTAACGAGAGTCGATTAGATCAAACATACATTCCACCAGAGGAACGCGCATTGATGAATCCTGAATATAAACTCAGAGATGGTAAATAATATAATCTTAAATTAATACAATATCTTTCAATATTTATAATTTAATTCAATAATATATATGCAGTTGAAGATGAAGAATTATCTTCTGAGAATGAAGAAGATAAGCAGGAAAATGAAACAGCAGACAAGGAAGAAGGTAACGAAGAAGAAGAAGAAGATGAAGAAGAAGAAGATGAAGAAGAGGAAGATGATGATAAGGATGAAATTCAGGTATCAGATGAAGAAAAAGAAAAAGAAAAGGAACGCGAACGAATGCGAAAGGTGATTAAACAACTGTTTTATATATTTAAATATGAATTACTTTTCCTTTTTTTTATTGTTTACAAAAAAATGTTTATAAATTTTAGAAAAAAGCGATGCAGGTGAAGGCCGGTAAAATAAGGAAGGAAGATCCTTACGAAAAGGAACGTCAAGATAAACAGGAATATCGATTGAGAGAAAAAATGATTAAGAAAAAACATCGTAATTTGTATAAGAGCATGATGCAAGGTCGTAAAGAGAGAGCTAAAGAAATCTGGTTACTGCGAAAAAAGAGGCGAATTCACGACAATACTGAGAAAGAAAAATATAAGGAAGCTCGTAAATTGCGAAAGCGCAATCTTATTGAATAAGTAGAAAAACCTAAGAGGGAGACGAAATAATTATAATTTTAATTGCGATGAAAAAGAAAAAAAAGAATTGAAAAAAAAGACAAATGATAGTTTTTTTTATGACTTTCCTAATTCTTATACAAACTAATGTAAGATCACTTATGCAGTCACTTTCTCGATCAATATATATATACAGTTATGTATTATAGAAAGAAAGAGAAAGATGCTTTCGATCCAGTCCTCCCACCGAAAGTGCACCCACGCATTCAACAGTCCTGATCTTTGCTTTTTCCATCGAAGGACTTTGAAGGCCAGACTTCCTACACTTTTAAACCCACGCGTTCTCCTCACACGTATATACGTGCATTAATATATACATATTATATATTTACAGAGTGTGGTTTTATTACAACGATGATATCATCGAACATAAGGATTTCTGTTCTAGTATATTGATCTTGAAAAGTGAATTTTTTCTTTTTTTCTTTATGATTGAATAATTCAATATCCTTTTAACCTGATTTCATTTTATTCTGAAATATTGCGTATTATATTTTGTATTGGATAGATATTTTATTATAATTCAAAGATCAGTTTTATTAGTAATAAAAATAAAAAAATGAGTATGACGTGTACGAAGAAAATGATGACGGAGAGCTAATTTTACCACGCTAATTCAACTCTATAATTTGGTAGATAGATGTGCGTACGTATCTATGCGAGATCCTGTGTATCCACATATGTGTTAGGACTATACTTTGTGGCACGATGTGTACACATTGGACGCTTACGTCATTCTTGCTATTCCTGTTCCAGCTCGTCTCCGCCGAGTATCCTTAAATATCTTTGTCCCTTCGAATGCTCACAACTGGCTGCTAACATCCTAATTTTCTTGTCGTGTTCTATAACTGAATGGCTAGCCTTGAAGATCTTATACCAACATTATATGTACGAGTTTGTGGATATTTTAGTCTTTCATTAATTTTACATTATTAGAAAATCATTATAGTTGTTTTATTTTCTTCAATGATATTTTTATTTAATTTATCATTATTATAGGATCATTATTGTTTTATGTTTTATGTCATTTTTATTAGAAATATTTCTTTCTTTTTTCTTTTTGGGGGAGAATTATCGATTTATTTTCAAATGTGATGGCGCGTACGTGGGCAGTATGCGGGCATTGGACTACCCACGTAGTAGTTTGTCGTTATTTATTTTAGATTGTAAAATCTTCTGCTTGTCTATAACGAATTTCTTTTTTGCACACAAATTTATTATTCGAAGTATGATCGCGTAATGAGATTTCAATTTAAATTCGGTCGAACGATTCTCGCCATTGATAAGTTCAAAGAACTTTATATAAAGTTCTGAACGTATCGTGCACACGCAAGACACGTACGCTTTTCATCGAATGAAATTTTACTCTCGATAAAGACTCGATCGTTGACTAATTTGGGATGAGCAGGTCACTGTCTTTAATATACTTGCGGTGAATACGGTGACTTGAATGCATGGTAAGAAACTATTACCTCACTCATCATGTTTAAAATCTTAGAAGTATGACGTAATTATTGCATGTTTTTTATATTAGAAAACTTGTCAAACAGTGTGCAATTAATTGAAATGAAATTATTTTATATTGTTATTTATTTATTTATTATTTAAATTTTATTTTAACAATTCGATTAAATCACGAACAATTTCAATTAATTTCACAGATTGGTTATTTAATAACTTATATTAAAAATATATACGATAAATAAACTAATATTATTATAAAAATGCAGAAAATGAATTAACGATATAAATTGCATCAAGCGTTGATTTGTTTAAACAGATACAGATAATGTAAGATAATACAAGATTATAATGCAAGTAATATCTTTTTTATTATATCCATCGAACGATCCTTTCGTATGTTTCTTTCTTCTTTTTCTAAAAAAAAGAAAAAAGCCAACAAAGAAGAAGAAGAGAATGAAGTATATTATAATAACACTAAAATAAGGTTTTAATTAAAGAGTCAGTATATTAAAAGACTATAAGAAGAAATTATTCGTTGAAGTTAGATGGTAATAAAGATATTTAGTCTTAAATATTGTCATTATCGGGCAATCAGTGACATGGCATCAATGGCGATGCTTACACCCATAGGTAACTAACCAGCATGCATGGGTATATACACGATACCAAGGTCAACGGAGGAAGTTATCTGTATGAACCATACTTTCGCCTATAGCTTAGCCATTTTTGACGTCAAATGTCCTGAAAATGAAGCTGCCTCTTAATGAACATCATTTTAAAACAGTATATGGTATTAAATAATTCAAGATTATGCTAAAAGGAGTTTTGAAATGTAGATAAAAGTATAATCAATGATATGAAATTTCTACCCTTTCCCTCGAGAGACTTAAATGTTTCCCCTAAAGGAATAAAATTAGTCGTAATGTTGAATAACACGTTAAACAATTTAATTTTGAAACTCGGTAGGAAACCGCAAATTGTTATGAAGGTTTTCTTGCATGTTGAGAAAGCGGTTCGAAATTTTTTGAAATTTGATCGTGCAACCGATCTCCGATCGTTCGGTGCCGAGGCATCGAAGTTATCCGGAGTTGGCAAAGCGGATGACGCATCGTTGAAAAGAATACGAAATGAACGTGTGCCTTGGCGAACCCGTTACCTATACTATGCTACAACATAGGATACAGATACTATAAGCCGAATATACATACATATACACATATATTGAATACTTCGAGAGGGTGTTTATAGTTCAGGATTGCATTTGACCAAACATGGAAGAGAATGAAAACAAACGATCATCGAATATGTTTCTACAATTACTTTTTTTTTTAATATGCCTTAGCATTTTAATCAAATTTATTTGTTAACAAATTCTCTACTTTACTATTGCTATATATAAATTTCAAAATATTTTAATATACCTTTCAGATATATTTAACTAAATAAAATCACTTTTTTCTTTCCACATCGATATATATATATATATATGTTTCTAAAACTTGTCTAATTTAAAAATATTTTAATTATAATTAAATAAAAATGTTAGATATTTTCTATAGGAAATCATTCGAGAAAACAGCATGTGCATCGTGAATCGCAGAGTTTGCACGACATATCTCCTCCGTGAAGCGTTTAACGCGCACATGTGTGTATATACGCGTATACCTGCTTTGAACTAACGTATATAGATATATATGTAATAGTAAGACGTGGATTAAACGTAATGGTGCAAACTATATAGGTAGGTACTTACGTGTTGTACGTTCGTAGATTCTCTTCGCGGCCTCCGCCTGTAAGATGCCTCAAGGCGCTAGAGTTCACCGACACCATCGTACACTGTGAGATACTATGGACTGCAGAAGTATCATTAAAACCGTGTGCAACGTATTACTATGCTTGTGTATCTCAAATTCGTAAAATTTTGACGAGTATTTGAAAAAGAGAAAAAGAATGAGAGAGAGAGAGAGAGAATGATTCAAAAAAAAAAAATAAAAAAGATGATCAACGCGATCAAAGTAGAGATAATGCGTCAGTTTGTTCTCTTCTTTTAATTTCTAAGATTCTGTTGGATCAATTTGAACGGAAGAAGAATGGCAAACAAAAAAAGAAAAAGAAAAAAACCACAAAACTGTTAATCATTTCCTTCCTTTCGAAGAAACCATAATTTTATTTATAATTTTGCTAATATCACATTCGCAAAGTATATATCGTCAATTTGATTTGGCGATATATGTTACTGTAGGATATATCAGACACGATCTACAAAACGGTATACACCTTTAAAGTATTCCCTAGATCTTGTGAATTCCTTCTCTCTCTCTCTCTCTTTCTCTCGTAAATAAGAGCAACGATCCGTGATAGGCGGTGCAATCTCCTGATGCACCGAGCAGCGATCCATGAGAGAGACTCGAAGTAAAGAAAGATCCTGCTTCCGTGAATCGTCGAGCGTTATCATCCTACGAGAACAACTATTTTTATATTCTTGTTTCTTTTCTTTTTATTTTTATAGGTAACATAGGTATTGTAACAATTTTCTAAGAAAATGATTTTTCTTCCAAGGAATCAACGAGTGTTATAATATACTATATTATTGTATATATTTCGCGTTTTTGAAAAAATGAAATATGAACAAATATTTTATTAATTTCGTGCAGACGTATATATATATATATGAATTATTAATGAATACGAAAGAAATGTGCTATACAATTTTGTTTGGGTGGTGATGGGGGAGGGGGCGGAGGGGGGACTACGAAATTCATGGTTTTATTATACTAACTACTAACAATAAGAAGAGAAGACTAATGAAAAGAAAAATAAGAGATAGATAGATCGTCGTCGTCTTCTTCTCCCCAGGCATTGAAGTCTCTAACTTTGAGCGTAGAAACTCTCTTTCTATACACGAATCCTAGTCCTGCCGTGGGAGAACATAGAAGGAGGAAACAGAATAATTCGAAGTCGTTCGTAGAAGTGAGAGGTAGATACGGTGTGCCAAGAGTGAGTGAATAAGTGAAAAAGAGAGAAAGAGAGAGAGAGAGAGAATTAGGGAGAGGAAGGGAGAGCAAGTGAGAGCAAGTGAGAGCAAGTAAGTGAAAAGAAAAAGAAAGAAGATAGACGCGAGTATCGAGAGAGGAGTTTATGGAAAGGAGTGTAAAGGTGAGGAAGAAGAAGAGGAGAAGGAGGAGGAGGAGGAGGAGGAGGAGGAGGAGGAGGTGGTGGAGGGAGCTCTCAGAAAAGAGAGAGGCAAGTTGAGTAAAGAGAAGGATCGTTGGCCAATGAGACATCGGGCCGGTGATGACGTCGTCGTTGTCTCACCTCCAAGTCTCAGCAAAAGTCCTCAACAGATACCAGTTCGTCCGCGGTCTCCCGTGTGGACGAAGAGAATTTCGTCCTTTTCCTTACGAGAACGTTTTCTTTTACGGACCATCTTTCCTTTCTTTTTTTCTCCCCTTTTTGTTTTTTTTTTTTTTTTAATATATATATATATATATGTTTCTCCTTTACATCAGCAAAGTGAAACCCATCTAGGATTGGATCCTGAACGGGGCGGAAGATTCGTGGAGTAAGGTGGCTGC